TCAGTTCGTGGATCCGATCTGTCGGCCCCCCCGAGTTGGTGCTTTCCGACGGCGGGGCCGAATTCCAGGCTGAGTTTCTCAGGGGACTGGAGCAGCAGGGCGCGTGCCAACACGTCGTGAATGCCGAGGCCCCTTGGGAAAACGGTCGGGCGGAGAGGCACGGGGGATGTGTCATGGACCTTTTGGGCAAAGGGTCGGAGCAAACCGTCGTCGCCGCGGAGACGGAGCTCGAGATTCTGGCGCGCGAGGTTGCGGCCTCGAAGAATAACTATCTGCATAGGGGGGTTCTCCGAATCAACTCGTCTTTGGACGCAACCCACGCGTCCCACGTGAGTTGATGTCTGATGACCCTCTCGGTTTAGTTGGCCAACAGGATCTCGACGAGACGGCGTGGGATCAGGATACCGCTGCTGCGGATTTCGCCAGGGCGATGGGCATCCGACGCTTCGCTTGGACACAGTTGTTCCAGAAGGGAAGCCAAGCCCGAGCGAATGCCGCGAGGGCCCCACGACACCGAGACCCCAAGTACAGCCCCGGGGGCTGGGTGTACGTGTGGCGCAGGGCTCCGAGGGCCCAGCGCAAGACCTTCGCGTTGCAACGTGACAGGTGGACCGGCCCGGGAGTTGTGGTTCTCCAGCATCATAACAGTGTCTGGGTGTCGACGAGGCCCCGCCTGTGGAAATGCGCTAGCGAGCAACTCAGACCCGCCACCGGGCCCGAGGCTCGGGGGATTGAAATTTTGCAGGATCCAACAGTGGCCTCCATGATTCGCGAGGTGCAGTCTGGCGCGGCTCCTCTTCCTTCTATGCTCCCCCCCGAGCCGCCGGGACCCCTTGGCGACGCAGGGCGCGACGAAGTTCCTCAGCGAGCGGGGGGCGCTCCAGCAGGCGCCAGAGAGACGGGCCCGCCTCGAGACGAGGAACCGCCTCCGCTCGAGAGGCAAGTTTCGGTCGGAGAGTCCACTCGGTCCGGGGCGCCATTGTCAGGACCTTCCCCCGCCCCCTCAATAGCTCCCTCCGGGTCGGGGGCCCAGAGCGCGATCGGCCCGCGCCCCGGAACCTCGGAAAGCGATCTGGAACTGCAGGGGCAGGAAGCCGTTCGCAGGGCCCGTCTTCTGGACTTCGGGGAGATGAGAAGACGCCCTCAGGGCGATAGAGACGCGGCCTTTCAGCAAATGCGAGAGGAACAGACCAGGCGTCACAGGGCCCGTTTGGACAATCTCCCTCGGCCAGTGGTGGATCCGAGCAGGAGTTCGGAAGGGCGTATCGGTCGCATGATCGCCGACTGGAATAGGCTCGGTTCGGGCGCTCCTCCCCCTTCGGACCCGGGGGGAAACAGGTCTCGGTCTCCCGGTCGGGGCCCAGCCGGACCTGGCGAGAGGCCCGAAGCCATGACGGACCTGGTCCTTGTGTCTCTTTCGGAAGCACAGCTCGGCCAGTACTTCATGTCTCTGCACGAAGGTATGGCCGAGAGAGGCTGGAGTGGATCTTGGGTGGAGTTCGGAAATGGGCACGCCGACGTGGAGCTCGTCCCGGGGGAGGGGTCTGAGGTCGGGTCTCTGACGTTGGCTGCTTCCCGGGGTTCTGAGGTTTCGAAGAAGCGTCTGAGTCCAGAGGAGGCAGCGGTGTTTGACGAATCCGATGCCAAGGAATGGAATGCCAAGGAAGCGACTGGTGCATGGCCCACGTTCCGTCGGTCCAGGCCGAGGAGCTGAAGTGCTGTCGGGAACGCTTTGATTTTGACAATATGGTGAGGCTCGACGCCTCGGGGGTGGACTACATAGGTCGTAGGCTGAGGAGGTTTCCGGATAGGATTCTTGTGGACCAGGAGAAGTATATCCTGGAGCAGCTTCACCGTCTCCCCCTCCCCCGCGCCCGTCGCTCCAACCACGATGAGCCATTCATTGGTCGCGAGATCTCGGATTTCAGATCCATGGTGTACCGTCTCAACTGGGTTGGGCAAGAGACGCGAGCGGAGGCGTCAGGTACTGCATCCATGCTCGCGAGCAGGGTCACGCATCCCACCGTCGGGGACGCCGTGATTTTGAACAAGATGGTCGACCATCTCCGGCAGACCGCCAATGTGCCGATAATAGTCTGGCGTTTCAACGTTCAGTCTATGCTGTTCGCCGCGGCATCCGACTGCGGCGGCGCTGCTGCAAACAGCGGAGACAAGCCCCAATAGGCGTGGCAGGTATATGCTGCCGATGCTGCCCTATCTCTCGGGTCCCGGGCCCGTGTTACCCCGTTGGCGTGGCGTTCGTGCAGGGTAAATTGGGAACCCCCAAACCGGGTGGTGAAATGCCAAGTGGCGACCGGGAATCCCCAAAAAAGTCACCGCTGGGTTTGGGGACGCGGGGTCACCGCCAGGTTTTGTGAATCCTGGCCCCACCAACGTTCGGGACATCCTCGGAAAACCGCACGAGTCCCCAAACCGGGTGGTGACACCAAATCGCCTGAGACTCACCGCCAGGTGTTGTCACCACCACGTTTGGGGACTACCAAGTAATGCGCCAGGTTCCTTCGACGCTGGCTGGAGAGGTTCTGTCGCTGAGCGCGGCCCTCGCGGAGGCCGGGTGGCTCCAAATGTTGTTTTACTACGTTTTCCGGGGTAATCTTCTGGACGACTCCTGGAGGTCCCACATAGGCCCGTTCGCTTCAGTGCTGCGCAAGAGCTGCACCTTGGACCTGACTCCCGAAGGGAACATGAGCGTGGTGGATGCCAAGGGGATCTTCGACACGCTAGATAAAGAGACGTCTGGCAGCAAGAACGACAGAAGAGCTGCCATTGATCTCGCAGTGTGTAGAGACTCTCTAGGACGAGTAGGGGGAGTTGTCCGATGGGTACCACATCCCATGATGCCCGTAGACGTGATGACAAAAGCCGGCATTGCCAAGTCAAATGCCGCGCAGTTGCAGTTGCTGCGCTCAGGTCTCCAGAAGATCACTTCCAAGAGCAAGGCCCTGGAGAGCAGACGGCAGGACCCGTCGTTCAAGGGTCGTTCTCGAGCAGCGTCCGCCAGGCAGCTGGCGGCCGAGTCGGCTGGTTCGTTGTTCGTGTCGTCGTTGTCTTCGTTCCCCTCCCATCTCCCACTTGAGGCCTCGTCGGTGGAACCGACCCGGTCGAATGCACTGCGCACTTAGCTGGCGACAGGCCAAGAGTTACCGATGTCATTTCAGTCAGAGGGTGCCCCTCCTCAGTTTGATTTAGTGGAGTTTCAAGCTCACTAAAATGGGGCGGACTGAGTAAAGGAGTTCATGCAGTGTATACTATCCATCTGATCTTGAAATCCCAGTATTGATATTCGGTGTTGTGTTTATCCGTAGGCACCCTCTTGGCCCCAGGTTGTTGCTTGCTACAGGAAAATATCCTATCGCCACCATCCTTTCGGATATCATTCGATGTGTTTTCGCGCGTCACTCCTCCTTCTCCTCCTCCCCCCCCTCTTCCTCCTCCGACCTCCTCCTCCCCCTCCTCCTCCTCATCCCCCTCCTCCTCCGACCTCCTCTTCCTCCTCCTCCTCCTCCTCGTCACCCCCCCTGTCGTCCCTCTTAAAGAGGGAGAGAGAAATAGAGAGACCGGTCGCCGAGGGCGACGGCCTTGCGGGGATAGTTTTGCGGCCCTCCTTGGATGCTCCCACTTGGGGATGCCAGCCTCTTTTTGGAAGCCTTTCTGGGTCCGCTGCGGGGAGGTAGAGTAAAGAGCAAACAAGGATCGAGCATGAACGCAGGTTTTGTTGGAAAGCGGGCTTTTCGGCGGCGAGCAAGAGCCCTGGCCCCGACCAGAAAAGGAGATAATATAGGGCGGGGGCGTTGTTGCTGGAGACCGGTCTCGGCGCAACCCCGAGTCGTTCGGGCGTGATTTTAATTTCCGAGAGAAAAAAACGCCCGGCGCCGAGGCGTGCGCGCCAGTGCGTATGTAGGGTGCCCCATAAGAACATGTTTTCTAGTAGTGCTTTTCGGCATGGAGTGTGCAAGCTTCACGGCTTGCGGGAGTTTGGGAAATAAAGAGGAAGTATCGAACGGGAACATCGCTGTTTGCAGGGGGGCCGCTTGCCTTTTTCCTGAAGACGGTGCTGTTCCTCGCCGCCGACAGCCTCCGCCCCGACAAAACCAGCGTTCCCGCTCGAGACTCCGTTTTGTTTCACGCTGGACTAGCGCCTTGCTCTCTTCAGCATTGGCGCCGCTCCCAGCAACAACAGCAGCCCTGTTCGAGACTTCCTTTTTAAAATTCGTTCTATTCAGGGCCAGGGGCTCACCGCCGACAGCCCCCATCCCCACCAAGGCAATCCTGTCGTTCGATACTTCCTTGTGCTTAACCCTTCGCTGGGATTCCACTGAGGTTCAACATAGACCGGGTAAGCCTCAGGGCTTCTGGGAATCCTCAGTAAAAAACGGATGACGTATCGACTGGGAACGTCGTTGTTTGCAGGGGGCCCACTTGCGGCACAAGGGCGGGGGCGCCATCCCTAGGGGGCCGCAAATCGGAAACTGTCGCCACATTCGAGGGCTGCTGGGGGGTCAGCAGAGTGACGCCTTGCGCAGATGCATATTCGACCTCTCCATCCCTGGAGGGCTGCGAAGTGCGATGCTGCTTTCGAGGGCTGCTGGGGGCTCCAGCGGAGTCACGCCTCACGCAGACTCAGATTCGAACTCGCCGTCCCTGGGTTCAGCAGTCTGCGACACCGTCGCCACTTTCGAGGGCTGCTAGGGGGTCCAGTGGATTGACGCTTTGCGCATATTGCGATTCGACCTCGCCATTCCCTGGGGGGGCTGCGAAGTGCGACGCCGTCGCCACTTTCGAGGGCTGCTGGGGGTTCTAGCAGAGTGACGCCCTGCGCAGAGGGCGTCGGAGCTTCAGGGTGCAGTTTGCCATCGGCGTCGTCGGGGCTTCAGGGGTCACAGCATTGCGCCGGAGGTTCGAGGAGCCCTCGTCGGGGCGCGGCGGAGATCGGAGTTGCAATGACAGTATTGATGGGTTCCTAGTGTTGCTGATGGCGGCGGGCAGAAGTAGTGGGTGCTGCCCCTCGTGGCGCTCCTTTTGTGACCATTGGCTGCTTGTGGACCCCGGTGGCCCCTTGGAGCCCCTTGGAGTCATGTGCCAATTCACTGCCCCACGCGTAAACCTATGAGGGGGAGAGGAGCCGGAACAGGTTCAAAGTTTGCGTAATCACGGCTGGTCGGTCAGCTTGACCGGGTGCAGATGTACCAGAGCTATCGCTCTGTGCATTTCAGCGTCGAATGCCCGTTTGGTTTCGTCGATTCCATGTGTAATTGTTCACTTTGGCGTCTCGGAGCATTGCGGCTCAGGCTTCTGTAGTGCAATCCGCATACACGTACACGTTGTATATCGCACACGCAGGCAATCTCCTCTTGTGCCGTTCCGTCGGATGGCAGTCAAGAAGGCATGCCTGACTTTGCGCTGGGTGGTGCCACTTCTCTGCAGCCTACCCACCGCGACTTCCATCAGCGCGGGAGTGAACATCAGCACCCATGAGACTCTCCGCACGGAGGCTGAGCGATCGGCGTGCGCGGCATACGCTGGGGAGTACCAGGTGTGGTATCAGGGGGCGCAGCGCTCTACGAACATGTTCATTTATTGCGACTGCACCGTGACGCAGCCTGGAATTTTCACTGATCGCCTTCGTTTCACTAGTGTGTCGTCCCAGTGCCCCCTCCTCCCCTCGTCTCAGTTCTACATCATGAACTCGCACGGGACTGGCAAGTACGAGTGTTTGTTTCAGAGTGGCACTATGATCGCAGGCAATCATTACACCAGCTGGAACGCATACTGGGGCACTATCGAGTACCGGCTGATACGCCGCGACTCCTCTTGTAACCCTTTCACGGTCGATTGCACCGGTCGCACTTACAACAACCAGGTGGCATACTGCCAGTCGCAGGGACTGTCCATCGCCAGTATCCACAACAATGCCGACAACAACGCGGTCTTGAGCTTGCTCCAATCTCAGGGATGCAGCGCGTACATCGGCGCTGAGTCCAACGGAGCCGGCACCTGGTCGTGGAGAGACGGCACACCATGGGACTACGTCAGTCCGCTGAACGACGGGCTCACTGGCTACAGCGAGACAAAGATTGCGTACCTTTCTGACGGTTGGTGGCACGATTGGGAAACGGGGAATTCCCTTCACGGTGTGGTGTGCCAGGGCGTAGCGTCAACGCCCAGCCCGACGCCCTACCCGACGCCCTACCCGACGCCCTACCCGACGCCGAACCCGACGCCGAGCCCGACGCCGAACCCGACACCGAGCCCGACGCCCTACCCGACGCCCTACCCGACGCCCTTCCCGACGCCCTTCCCGACGCCCTTCCCGACGCCCTTCCCGACGCCCTACCCGACGCCGAACCCGACGCCGAACCCGACGCCGAATCCGACGCCGTACCCGACGCCGAACCCGACGCCGAACCCGACGCCGAACCCGACGCCGAACCCGACACCGAACCCGACACCGAACCCGACGCCGTACCCGACGCCGTACCCGACGACGTACCCGACGCCCTTCCCGACGCCCTTCCCGACGCCCTTCCCGACGCCCTTCCCGACGCCCTTCCCGACGCTCTTCCCGACGGCCTTCCCGACGTCCTTCCCAACGCCCTTCCCCACGCTTTTCCCCACGGCATACCCGACGGCCTTCCCGACGCCCAGCCCGACTCCCAGCCCGACATATCCTCCTGGTTGGCCGACGCCACATCCGACGTTTCCGCCTGCAGCTCCCATGGCGGGCGGAGCTAGCGCCGGCGTGGCTGCCACTGGCGACCCCCACCTTCAAAACCTTCATGGTGAGCGGTTCGACTTGATGAAGGCGGGGAAACACGTTTTGATAAGCATCCCTCGTGGAATGGGCGCTGAAGACGCATTGCTTCGTGTGCAGGCTGATGCGCGCCGGTTGGGTGGACATTGTGCGGATATGTACTTCCAAGAAGTGAACATCACGGGGTTCTGGGCAGAGGCCAAACAAATGGGAGGGTATCATTACCGCGCATTGCAAAGTCCAGTCGAGATTCCACAGTGGGTTGCGTTTGGTCCGGTTCAGCTGAAAGTCGTTCATGGACGTACTGACAGTGGCCACTTGTATCTAAATGTCTACGCGAAGCATTTGGGACGAGCAGGGTTTGCCGTTGGAGGTCTGCTGGGGGAGGACGACCACGAAGACGTAATGCATTCCCCAGCGGCATGTGCGGACCGTGTGACTCTTTGGCGCGTCCAGTCGGAAGCACACGGCCCTGACCGCATTAGGGGCTCAGTTGGTGTAGCATCCTTCGCCTGACGGGGCCGTAGCTACCGCGCTGATGCTTTTGTTCTTGGGCAAGCTTTCCGGCCCCCAGAGCCGAACAAGCTATGCACCGTACCGTGTTGGAGCGGGGCCTGAACGGAGTGTAGACATGAGCATGGGCGCCGTTCTCGTACAGAAAAAAACGGCCGCCTCGTCATCGTGTGCCTGATGACTGACGTGGGTCGTACCCTTCGCCAGTATGTTTCTGCCCTTGACCTGAATGAAGCCAGGGACCCTTCCAGCACACCTTCAAGGGTCCGTTTTCCAGGCGTCCTTTGGTTTCCCATGAGAAGGGTCCCTCGAAGAACCCTTCATGGGGCACTGGACCCTCGAGGAGAGGCCCATGAAGGTGCGCCTCAAGGCACAACTTAGATTGCACCACGCAGATTGCACCTCCTCGATTGCACCACGTAGATTGCGCACCACATACATTCTCCTTTCTCAAATCAGAATAGACTCTACCCCCCCACCCCCTGCGTTCGCCGCCCCCCTTTTTGGATATGTAGATATGAATGATTCTGACCACATGTCCATCTTAAATATGAATTCTTTACGCTTCGCGTATCCCCACCAGCCCATCTCTCAACAGCAACTCTTGCGAAGCGTGCCGACAGTCGTGTTTTTCAGGCGTGTTTCCGCCTGCCCCCGCATATCTCCCCTGTTACTCCTTCCTCCCGCCTCCTTGTACATCCTCCTTGTGGGGGGAGCGGGAGAAGGACGAGGCGGAGGAGGAGGGAGAGAAAGCGCGCCTCGTGGTTTGAGTCGTTTGTGGTTTCTCGTCCTGGTGTGAGTCGTTCGGGCCCTTCTTCCTGGTGTGAGTCGTTCGGGCTCTTCGTGGTGTGAGTCGTTCGGGCTCTTCGTCCTGGTGTGAGTCGTTCGGGCTTCTCGTGGTGTGAGTTGTTCGGGCCCCTCGTCCTGGTGTGAGTCGTTCGGGCCCCTCCTCCTGGTGTGACTCGTTCGGGCTCCTCGTGGTGTGAGTCGTTCGGGGCCCTCGTCGTGGTGTGAGTCGTTCGGGCTCCTCGTGGTGGCTTGTATGAGCGCTGCCCCTTCTCATGGTGTGACTCGTTCGGGCTCCTCGTGGTGTGAGTCGTTCGAGGCCCGCGTCGTGGTGTGAGTCGTTCGGGCTCCTCGTGGTGTGAGTCGTTCGGGCGCCTCGTCCTGGTGTAAGTCGTTCGGGAACCTCCTTGTGGTGTGAGTCGTTCGGGCTCTTCGTGGTGTGAGTCGTTCGGGCCCCTCGCCCTGGTGTGAGTCGTTCGGGCTCCTCGTGGGGCCCTCTTGGGGGCCTCTTGGAGCCTCTTGGGGCCTCTTGGGGGCCTCTTGGGGGCCTCTTGGGGACCTCTTGGGGGCCTCTTGGGGGCTCTGGGGGCCTCGTGGGGGCCTCTTGGGAGCCTGTTGGGGGCCTCTGGGGGCCTCTTGGGGGCCTCTTGGGGGCCTCTTGGAGGCCTCTTGGGAGCCTCCTGGGGACATCAAGGCGCCATCTTGGGGCCTCTTGCGACCTCCTCAGAAGCGCAAGTGAGCGCTACCCCCTGAGAAAGACAAAATGAGCCCAAAACCTTAGTAAAATCAATGATTCTGAGAAGAAGGAAGAGGAGCGCTGCCCCCTTCAGAAGGCCAACATGGGACCAAAACCGTAGTAAAATCAATATTTTTGGCGTCACGGAAGAGGAGAGGGTTTTTTCTCTATCCCCCCGTCGGGGCGAGAATCCTCGTGAGGGTCGTCGTTTTTTGGCCCTCCCAGGCGTCGAAAAGGACCCCCCTGACCACCCGCGGGGCGCCCTCTCCAGGTCCAGGGGGAGGGGGTAGGGGGAGGGGTAAACCCCTCCCCGAAGGGGAAGAAGGGGGGTTGAGGACAGAGAGGGCTCCCTAAACCACTCACGCCCAAAGGGCTGGTGGGATTTACAATGTCCCAGGGGGACCGGTATCGGCCCCCCTGAGGCCCCCTTGCAAAAAGCGATACGCGGGGACATCTTTAGTTCTAACATAGCACTTTTTCACGAATCCCTTGCAACAAACGAGACGAAGTGCACACACGCGCGTCGTCGCGCGCGCATACCGACATCCTTCAAAAACCCTGGTTGCCGGAAGGATTTCGCTATCGAGTTTCCAAACAATTCGCAAAACCACAGGGTTTCGCAATAGTGATTTGCTAAAACAGCTTACGCGCGAGCTCTTGCGAAATCTTAAGAAAACCATGGGTTTTTCAAGATTTTCACAACATTCTACCGAACGGGCTCCGCGCGCGCGCATGTCGAAATCTGTCGCACGCCCTTGCGCGTGTGCCGTCGCGAGGCTCCATTGCAAAAAATGGGACGAAGTGCAGACGCTCGCGTCGTCGCGCGCGTATGCCGAAATCCTTCAAAACCCATCGGTTTCGGAAGGACTTCAAAATCGTGTGTCCAAAAAACCTACAAAACACACGGTTCCGCAACACTGATTTTCAACAAAAGCGTGCGCGCGCGCTCTTGCATCGTCGTCGTCGTCGTCGTCGCCGTCCTCCCTCCTCCCGCGTCGTCGTCGTCGTCGTCGCCTACGTCGTCCTGTGTCTTTCCTCGTGTTCGTCGTCGTCGTCCTCTTTGGCGTCGTGGTCGTTTCTGTCGTCGTTGTCGCCGTGGTCGTCCTTCCTCCTCCTTCGTCGTCGTCGTCGTCCGTCCTCGGCGTCTCGTCGTCGTCCCTCCTATTTCGTTGCCGTCGTCGCGTCGTCCGTTGTCGTCTTCGCTCCTCCACTCGTCCCGTTGTTGTCGTCGGGGCGAGGTCCGCCGTCCTTCCGTCCTTCTCTTCGTCGTTCGCGGTCGTACGCCGTCCTCGACACTCCTCCCGTCGTCGTTTGTCGGCGTCTGTCTTCGTTGGTCGCCGTCGTCGCCTCCCTCCTCCCTCGTCGTCGTCTTCGGTGGTGACGTCGTCGTCGTCTTCGTCGGTCCGTCCGTCCGTCGTCCGGCCTCGTCGTCGTCTTCGTCGTCGTCCGACGTCGGCGTCGTCGGCCGCCGCCGTCGTCGTCGTCCGTCGTGTCGCGTCCGTCCGTCGTCGTCGAGGAGGGTGTCGTACCGTTGTCGTACGTCGTCGGCGGTCGTCGTCCGTCGTCCGTCCATCGTCGTCGTCGTCGTCGGCGTCGGCGTCGTCGTCGTCGTCGGTTGTCGTCGTCGTCGTCGTGGTTGTCGGAGTCGTCGAAGTCATCGGAGACGTCGTCGGTGTCGTCGTAGTCGTTGTCGGCGGCGTCGTCGTCGTCGATGTCGCTGTCGTCGTCGGCGTCGCTGTCGTTGCCAAGTGCCATTCGGTACCCACCGTCACGGTCTTAACAGATTTTGTAAACCAAGTTGCGGGTGGGTGGGCGGGATGTTTGCAAGAGCGCGGGATGTGTCAGTTCGTTTTGTTGTTAAAAAAAACAATCATCTGCACCACATAGATTGCACCACGTAGATCGCTCCATTAATATTGCACACTTTTATATTACACAACCCATGTTGCACGACGCAGATTGCACCACAGCTATTGCTTCACATATTTCGCGCACCATTGAATGTTAGTAACACACTGTTTGGGGTCCACGCTGATCAACATTGTGTTAGGGATCGAGGCTCAACAACGTCAATGACGCAACCACGGCAACCTACGGCCCCATCCCTCGCAGGCGCGGAGCCCCACGTCGACCACGCGCCCAGGGACAGTGAATTACCGTTCGCCCCCCTCACGAGGCTGCACGAGCTGCGACATGGGAAAGCGGGCGGGGCGAGCTTGGGCATATCTTTCGACATGCATGGCGCAGGCGACGCTGGGCGATTCGCACCTGACCCAGGCGAGGGCTTCCCAGCTGGCTGCTTGCCAGGCTCTCTGGACATGCGGAGGCGCTTCCTTCCTTCCTCGAGGAGACCTTAAAGTTGTGGCCCGCCCAAGCTTGACTGATCCGCGTGGTGTCGGGAAGCAGCGCCGGCGTCCTCGCGACGCGGGCCTGCCGTGGACGGAGAGGGCAGCAGCAGCCGGATCCCGAGAGAGAGGGAGAGGTCTCGAGGGTGGACAGTGACAGAATCCCCACCATGACAAGTCGATCAGTGAACTGTCCGTGCTCGGTTCTCGAGAGGGCGCCGCGGCCGCCATTTTCCAGGCCTGCGCCTGCCAGGTTTGGGCCCGAGGTATAGTTTTCCCCAAATCACGTCTTACTGGAGGGGGTTGTGCCCATCCCCGAAGAGAGGACAGGGGCGAGGTCAGCGGGAGCTGGCTCAGGGAGGGGGGCCTCGCCCCACAACTCCGCATTCTTCACCGATCGAGGGGGGTGTCCCAGGCAAATGTGGTCTTTCGCTACTGGGGCCTATCGCCCACCTATCGATGATGTACCGCCGATTCGAGCCTGACGCTCCCCCCCTGAGCCAGTCCTCCTCCTCCTCCTCCTCCTCCTCCTCCTCCTCCTCCTCCCCCTCCTCCTCCTCCTCCTCCCCCTCCTCCTCCCCTCCTCCTCCTCATCCCCCTCCTCCTCCGACCTCCTCCTCCTCCTCCTTGTCACCCCCCCTGTCGTCCCTCTTAAAGAGAGAGAGAGAGAGAGAGAGAGAGAGAGAGAGACCGGTCGCCGAGGGCGACGGCCTTGCGGGGATAATTTTACGGCCCTCCTTGGATGCCCCCATTTGGGGATGCCAGCCTCTTTTTGGGAGCCTTTCTGGGTCCGCTGCGGGGAGGTAGAGTAAAGAGCAAACAAGGATCGAGCATGAACGCAGGTTTTGTTGGAAAGCGGGCTTTTCGGCGGCGAGCAAGAGCCCTGGCCCCGAGCAGAAAAGGACAAAATATCGGGCGGGAGCGTTGTTGCTGGGGACCGGTCTCGGCGCAACCCCGAGTCGTTCGAGCGTGACCTTAATTCCCGAGAGAAAAAAAAGCGCCCGGCGCCGAGGCGTGCGCGCCAGTGCGTATGTAGGGTGCCCCATAAGAACATGTTTTCTAGTAGTGCTTTTCGGCATGGAGTGTGCAAGCTTCACGGCCTGCGGGAGTTTGGGAAATAAAGAGGAAGTATCGAACGGGAACATCGCTGTTTGCAGGGGGGCCGCTTGCCTTTTTCCTGAAGACGGTGCTGTTCCTCGCCGCCGACAACCTCCGCCCCGACAAAACCAGCGTTCCCGCTCGAGACTCCGTTTTGTTTCACGCTGGACTAGCGCCTTGCTCTCTTCAGCATTGGCGCCGCTCCCAGCAACAACAGCAGCCCTGTTCGAGACTTCCTTTTTTAAAATTCGTTCTATTCAGGGCCAGGGGCTCACCGCCGACAGCCCCCATCCCCACCAAGGCAATCCTGTCGTTCGATACTTCCTTGTGCTTAACCCTTCGCTGGGATTCCACTGAGGTTCAACATAGACCGGGTAAGCCTCAGGGCTTCTGGGAATCCTCAGTAAAAAACGGATGACGTATCGACTGGGAACGTCGTTGTTTGCAGGGGGTCCACTTGCGGCACAAGGGCGGGGGCGCCATCCCCAGGGGGCCGCAAATCGGAAACTGTCGCCACATTCGAGGGCTGCTGGGGGGTCAGCAGAGTGACGCCTTGCGCAGATGCATATTCGACCTCTCCATCCCTGGAGGGCTGCGAAGTGCGATGCTGCTTTCGAGGGCTGCTGGGGGCTCCAGCGGAGTCACGCCTCACGCAGACTCAGATTCGAACTCGCCGTCCCTGGGGTCAGCAGTCTGCGACACCGTCGCCACTTTCGAGGGCTGCTAGGGGGTCCAGTGGATTGACGCTTTGCGCATATTGCGATTCGACCTCGCCATTCCCTGGGGGGGCTGCGAAGTGCGACGCCGTCGCCACTTTCGAGGGCTGCTGGGGGTTCTAGCAGAGTGACGCCCTGCGCAGAGGGCGTCGGAGCTTCAGGGTGCAGTTTGCCATCGGCGTCGTCGGGGCTTCAGGGGTCACAGCATTGCGCCGGAGGTTCGAGGAGCCCTCGTCGGGGCGCGGCGGAGATCGGAGTTGCAATGACAGTATTGATGGGTTCGTAGTGTTGCTGATGGCGGCGGGCAGAAGTAGTGGGTGCTGCCCCTCGTGGCGCTCCTTCTGTGACCCTTGGCTGCTTGTGGACCCCGGTGGCCCCTTGGAGCCCCTTGGAGTCATGTGCCAATTCACTGCCCCACGCGTAAACCTATGAGGGGGAGAGGAGCCGGAACAGGTTCAAAGTTTGCGTAATCACGGCTGGTCGGTCAGCTTGACCGGGTGCAGATGTACCAGAGCTATCGCTCTGTGCATTTCAGCGTCGAATGCCCGTTTGGTTTCGTCGATTCCATGTGTAATTGTTCACTTTGGCGTCTCGGAGCATTGCGGCTCAGGCTTCTGTAGTGCAATCCGCATACACGTACACGTTGTATATCGCACACGCAGGCAATCTCCTCTTGTGCCGTTCCGTCGGATGGCAGTCAAGAAGGCATGCCTGACTTTGCGCTGGGTGGTGCCACTTCTCTGCAGCCTACCCACCGCGACTTCCATCAGCGCGGGAGTGAACATCAGCACCCATGAGACTCTCCGCACGGAGGCTGAGCGATCGGCGTGCGCGGCATACGCTGGGGAGTACCAGGTGTGGTATCAGGGGGCGCAGCGCTCTACGAACATGTTCATTTATTGCGACTGCACCGTGACGCAGCCTGGAATTTTCACTGATCGCCTTCGTTTCACTAGTGTGTCGTCCCAGTGCCCCCTCCTCCCCTCGTCTCAGTTCTACATCATGAACTCGCACGGGACTGGCAAGTACGAGTGCTTGTTTCAGAGTGGCACTATGATCGCAGGCAATCATTACACCAGCTGGAACGCATACTGGGGCACTATCGAGTACCGGCTGATACGCCGCGACTCCTCTTGTAACCCTTTCACGGTCGATTGCACCGGTCGCACTTACAACAACCAGGTGGCATACTGCCAGTCGCAGGGACTGTCCATCGCCAGTATCCACAACAATGCCGACAACAACGCGGTCTTGAGCTTGCTCCAATCTCAGGGATGCAGCGCGTACATCGGCGCTGAGTCCAACGGAGCCGGCACCTGGTCGTGGAGAGACGGCACACCATGGGACTACGTCAGTCCGCTGAACGACGGGCTCACTGGCTACAGCGAGACAAAGATTGCGTACCTTTCTGACGGTTGGTGGCACGATTGGGAAACGGGGAATTCCCTTCACGGTGTGGTGTGCCAGGGCGTAGCGTCAACGCCCGACGCCCTACCCGACGCCCTACCCGACGCCCTACCCGACGCCCTACCCGACGCCGAACCCGACGCCGAGCCGACCCGCCCGCCGAGCCCGAACCCGACGCCGACCCGACGACCCGACGCCCTTCCCGACGCCCTACCCGACGCCGAACCCGACGCCGAACCCGACGCCGAATCCGACGCCGTACCCGACGCCGAACCCGACGCCGAACCCGACGCCGAACCCGACGCCGAACCCGACACCGAACCCGACACCGAACCCGACGCCGTACCCGACGCCGTACCCGACGACGTACCCGACGCCCTTCCCGACGCCCTTCCCGACGCCCTTCCCGACGCCCTTCCCGACGCCCTTCCCGACGCTCTTCCCGACGGCCTTCCCGACGTCCTTCCCAACGCCCTTCCCCACGCTTTTCCCCACGGCATACCCGACGGCCTTCCCGACGCCCAGCCCGACTCCCAGCCCGACATATCCTCCTGGTTGGCCGACGCCACATCCGACGTTTCCGCCTGCAGCTCCCATGGCGGGCGGAGCTAGCGCCGGCGTGGCTGCCACTGGCGACCCCCACCTTCAAAACCTTCATGGTGAGCGGTTCGACTTGATGAAGGCGGGGAAACACGTTTTGATAAGCATCCCTCGTGGAATGGGCGCTGAAGACGCATTGCTTCGTGTGCAGGCCGATGCGCGCCGGTTGGGTGGACATTGTGCGGATATGTACTTCCAAGAAGTGAACATCACGGGGTTCTGGGCAGAGGCCAAACAAATGGGAGGGTATCATTACCGCGCATTGCAAAGTCCAGTCGAGATTCCGCAGTGGGTTGCGTTTGGTCCGGTTCAGCTGAAAGTCGTTCATGGACGTACTGACAGTGGCCACTTGTATCTAAATGTCTACGCGAAGCATTTGGGACGAGCAGGGTTTGCCGTTGGAGGTCTGCTGGGGGAGGACGACCACGAAGACGTAATGCATTCCCCAGCGGCATGTGCGGAGCGTGTGACTCTTTGGCGCGTCCAGTCGGAAGCACACGGCCTTGACCGCATTAGGGGCTCAGTTGGTGTAGCATCCTTCGCCTGACGGGGCCGTAGCTACCGCGCTGATGTTTTTGTTCTTGGGCAAGCTTTCCGGCCCCCAGAGCCGAACAAGCTATGCACCGTACCGTGTTGGAGCGGGGCCTGAACGGAGTGTAGACATGAGCATGGGCGCCGTTCTCGTACAGAAAAAAACGGCCGCCTCGTCATCGTGTGCCTGATGACTGACGTGGGTCGTACCCTTCGCCAGTATGTTTCTGCCCTTGACCTGAATGAAGCCAGGGACCCTTCCAGCACACCTTCAAGGGTCCGTTTTCCAGGCGTCCTTTGGTTTCCCATGAGAAGCGTCCCTTGAAGAACCCTTCATGGGGCACTGGACCCTCGAGGAGAGGCCCATGAAGGTGCGCCTCAAGGCACAACTTAGATTGCACCACGCAGATTGCACCTCCTCGATTGCACCACGTAGATTGCGCACCACATACATTCTCCTTTCTCAAATCAGAATAGACTCTACCCCCCCCCCACCCCCTGCGTTCGCCGCCCCCCTTTTTGGATATGTAGATATGAATGATTCTGACCACATGTCCATCTTAAATGTGAATTCTTTACGCTTCGCGTATCCCCACCAGCCCATCTCTCAACAGCAACTCTTGCGAAGCGTGCCGACAGTCGTGTTTTTCAGGCGTGTTTCCGCCTGCCCCCGCATATCTCCCCTGTTACTCCTTCCTCCCGCCTCCTTGTACATCCTCCTTGTGGGGGGAGCGGGAGAAGGACGAGGCGGAGGAGGAGGGAGAGAAAGCGCGCCTCGTGGTTTGAGTCGTTTGTGGTTTCTCGTCCTGGTGTGAGTCGTTCGGGCCCTTCTTCCTGGTGTGAGTCGTTCGGGCTCTTCGTCCTGGTGTGAGTCGTTCGGGCTTCTCGTGGTGTGAGTTGTTCGGGCCCCTCGTCCTGGTGTGAGTCGTTCGGGCTCCTCCTCCTGGTGTGACTCGTTCGGGTTTCTCGTGGTGTGAGTCGTTCGGGGCCCTCGTCGTGGTGTGAGTCGTTCGGGCTCCTCGTGGTGGCTTGTATGAGCGCTGCCCCTTCTCATGGTGTGACTCGTTCGGGCTCCTCGTGGTGTGAGTCGTTCGAGGCCCGCGTCGTGGTGTGAGTCGTTCGGGCTCCTCGTGGTGTGAGTCGTTCGGGCGCCTCGTCCTGGTGTAAGTCGTTCGGGAACCTCCTTGTGGTGTGAGTCGTTCGGGCTCTTCGTGGTGTGAGTCGTTCGGGCCCCTCGCCCTGGTGTGAGTCGTTCGGGCTCCTCGTGGGGCCTCTTGGGGGCCTCTTGGAGCCTCTTGGGGCCTCTTGGGGGCCTCTTGGGGGCCTCTTGGGGACCTCTTGGGGGCCTCTTGGGGGCTCTGGGGGCCTCGTGGGGGCCTCTTGGGAGCCTGTTGGGGGCCTCTGGGGGCCTCTTGGGGGCCTCTTGGGGGCCTCTTGGAGGCCTCTTGGGAGCCTCCTGGGGACATCAAGGCGCCATCTTGGGGCCTCTTGCGACCTCCTCAGAAGCGCAAATGAGCGCTACCCCCTGAGAAAGACAAAATGAGCCCAAAACCTTCGTAAAATCAATGATTCTGAGAAGAAGGAAGAGGAGCGCTGCCCCCTTCAGAATGCCAAAATGGGGCCAAAACCGTAGTAAAATCAATAATTTTGGCGTCGCAGAAGAGGAGAGGGTTTTTTCTCTATCCCCCCGTCGGGGCGAGAATCCTCGTGAGGGTCGTCGTTTTTTGGCCCTCCCAGGCGTCGAAAAGGACCCCCCTGACCACCCGCGGGGCGCCCTCTCCAGGTCCAGGGGGAGGGGGTAGGGGGAGGGGTAAACCCCTCCCCGAAGGGGAAGAAGGGGGGTTGAGGACAGAGAGGGCTCCCTAAACCACTCACGCCTAAAGGGCTGGTGGGATTTACAATGTCCCAGGGGGACCGGTATCGGCCCCCCTGAGGCTCCCTTGTAAAAAGCGATACGCGGGGACATCTTTAGTTCTAACATAGCAGTTTTTCACGAATCCCTTGCAACAAACGAGACGAAGTGCACACACGCGTGTCGTCGCGCGCGCATACCGAAATCCTTCAAAAACCCTGGTTGCCGGAAGGATTTCGCTATCGAGTTACCAAACTTTTTGCAAAACCACAGGGTTTCGCAACAGTGATTTGCTAAAACAGCTTACGCGCGAGCTCTTGCGAAATCTTAAGAAAACCATTGGTTTTTCAAGATTTTCACAACATTCTACCGAACGGGCTCCGCGCGCGCGCATGTCGAAATCTGTCGCACGCCCTTGCGCGTGTGCCGTCGCGAGGCTCCATTGCAAAAAATGGGACGAAGTGCAGACGCTCGCGTCGTCGCGCGCGTATGCCGAAATCCGTCAAAACCCAGCGGTTTCGGAAGGACTTCAAAATCGTGTGTCCAAAAAACCTACAAAACACACGGTTCCGCAACACTGATTTTCAACAAAAGCGTGCGCGCGCGCTCTTGCATCGTCGTCGTCGTCGTCGTCGTCGCCGTCCTCCCTCCTCCCGCGTCGTCGTCGTCGTCGTCGCCTACGTCGTCCTCTGTCTTTCTCGTGTTCGTCGTCGTCGTCCTCTTTGGCGTCGTGGTCGTTTCCGTCGTCGTTGTCGCCGTGGTCGTCCTTCCTCCTCCTCCCTCGTCGTCGTCGTCGTCCGTCGTCGGCGTCTCGTCGTCGTCCCTCCTATTTCGTCGCCGTCGTCGTCGTTGTCGTCGTCGTCGTCTTCCCTCCTCCCTCGTCGTTGTTGTCGTCGGCGTCGCCGTCCTTCCTCCTTCTTCGTCGTTCGCGTCGTCGCCGTCCTCCCTCCTCCCTCGTCGTTGTCGTCGTTGTCGTCGTTGTCGCCGTCGTCGTCCTCCCTCCTCCCTCGTCGTCGTCTTCGTTGGTGACGTCGTCGTCGTCTTCGTCGTCGTCGTCGGCCTCGTCGTCGACGTCGGCGTCGTCGCCGCCGCCGTCGTCGTCGTCGTCGTCGTCGTCGGCGTCGTCGTCGTCGGTGTCGTCGTTGTCGTCGTCGTCGTCGGCGTCGTCGTTGTCGTCGTCGTTGTCATCGTCGTCGTCGTCGTCGTCGGCGTCGGCGTCGTCGTCGTCGTCGGTGTCGTCGTCGTCGTCGTCGTCGTCGTTGTCGGCGTCGTCGAAGTCATTGGAGACGTCGTCGGTGTCGTCGTAGTCGTTGTCGGCGGCGTCGTCGTCGTCGATGTCGCTGTCGTCGTCGGCGTCGCTGTCGTTGCCAAGTGCCATTCGGTACCCACCGTCACGGTCTTAACAGATTTTGTAAACCAAGTTGCGGGTGGGTGGGCGGGATGTTTGCAAGAGCGCGGGATGTGTCAGTTCGTTTTGTTGTTAAAAAAAAAAACAATCATCTGCACCACATAGATTGCACCACGTAGATCGCTCCATTAATATTGCACACTTTTATGTTACACAACCCATGTTGCACGACGCAGATTGCACCACAGCTATTGCTTCACATATTTCGCGCACCATTGAATGTTAGTAACACACTGTTTGGGGTCCACGCTGATCAACATTGTTTAGGGATGAGAGCTCAACAACGCAATAACGCAACAACGCAACCACGCAGCAACAATCCGCAGCGCGGAGCCCCACGTCAGCCACGCGCCCAGGGACAGTGAATTACCGTTCGCCCCCCTCACGAGGCTGCACGAGCTGCGACATGGGAAAGCGGGCGGGGCGAGCTTGGGCATATCTTTCGACATGCATGGCGCAGGCGACGCTGGGCGATTCGCACCTGACCCAGGCGAGGGCTTCCCAGCTGGCTGCTTGCCAGGCTCTCTGGACATGCGGAGGCGCTTCCTTCCTTCCTCGAGGAGACCTTAAAGTTGTGGCCCGCCCAAGCTTGACTGATCCGCGTGGTGTCGGGAAGCAGCGCCGGCGTCCTCGCGACGCGGGCCTGCCGTGGACGGAGAGGGCAGCAGCAGCCGGATCCCGAGAGAGAGGGAGAGGTCTCGAGGGTGGACAGTGACAGAATCCCCACCATGACAAGTCGAT